AAGAAATGCAAAAGATTTCTGTATATCAACTTTATATCCTGCTGCCTTACTGAATTCATTTATTCTAATAGTTTTGTGTGCAGACTTGTTTTCTATGTAGAGTATTATGTCATCTGCAAATAGTGACAGTTTTACCTCTTCCTTCTGATTTGGATACCTTTTATTTTTTTATCTTGTCTGGTTGCTCTGGCTAGGACTTCCAATACTATGTAGAATAGAAGTGGTGAGGGTGGGCATCCTTGTCTTGTTCCTGAATTTAATAGGAAGGCTTTCAGGTTTTCACTATTGACTATCACGTTGGTTGTGGGTTTGTTGTCAATGGCTTTTATTATGTTTAGATATGTTCCCTCTATACCCACTTTGATGAGATCTGCAAAGTCTCCTTTACCATTACAAGGTAGTATTCAGAGGTTCTAGAAATTAGTATGGGGCTACTGAGGGGAGCAGGGGGCATTATTCAGCCTACCATAATGCCTTTCTAAAGTGGTCAAGGTAGCAGGCTCCTGGCTGGTCAGTTCTACAGTATTCTGAGAAGTCATTCCTGGAGACCCAGCCTTTAGCCTCCTCCTTCAGCTCTTTCAATGATTTGGAAACACCCAGTAAGTAAAAAACTTACTGATTTAACAGGATTTACCCTGTGTTCAATCCTTTTCTGCTTAAAGCACAGTAGCTTCTGTTTCCTTCACCCAACTATGACTAAAATACCAATTATCCTTCAAGTCTCTGTTTATCTTTGGGAAGTGAAGTGAGTGAAGTAGCTCAGTTGTGTCCGACTCTTTGCCACCCCGTGGACTGTAGCCTACCAGGCTTCTCTGTCCATGGGATTTTCCAGGCAAGAGTACTGAGGTGGGTTGCCATTTCCTTCTCCAGGGGATCTTCCTGACCCAGGGATCGAACCCGAGTCTCCCACATTGCAGGCAGATGGTTTACCCTCTGAGCCACCAGGGAAGCCCCTGGGAAGACTTCCCCAATTCCTCCAAAGTTCCTTCTCCCTACTCTAGACCCCAAAAGTCCTTCTAGATCAAATATCCCTAGTGGACCATGACCCCTCCATGGAATCAGATGAAAAGGAAGTCTGCAGATGCACCAAAGGCCATCAGCTGAGAGCAACTTCATAAACATCAAGCCTTGGATGTGGGCCGAGGCAGGCGTGACCTGAGGAGGACTGGGGCCGTGCTGTCTCAACCTTACAAAACTCCTGGGACTCAAAAAAAAAAAAGCATATTTTCAGATACAGAAGCAAGTCAGCATCTGGATACACATGAAACAGTACATTCTTCAGGTCCAGGGCTGCTGTCCAGTCTGGGGCTTCATGGCCCTTAATCCAGAAACACAGAAACAATGACATGACAGAAAGGACGGGCCCTGATCCATAGGAAGATGTGCAGGGTCAAATCTAGGAAACAACCAAGGAGCAGAAGCTGCATTTCCCTTGGCAAGGCAGAAAAGGAAACAGGCCAGATGATGCCCTGGGTCTATGAGAGGCCCTGCCCCTACCTTACCTGGGACAAGACCAGCAGTCTGGCCCCAGTACCCAGAAGGGCATGCCCATGCCTGGGTATCAGTGGAGCAAGGAAACAAGTGTCAGATGCATGCAACACATCAAAGAAGACTCTGCATGCCACCTTAGATGACATGCATATGAAGATGGGACAATAGGGAAAGACGGCCCAGCAGAAGGCCACCTCCACTGGCAGGAAAGAACTAAAAAGCCCAAACTAGGAAATGCAGCGGTTCTATTCTGCCCATGGCTATCGTGTGCTGTGGCATCACACAGACCCCATGCCCTCCCCAGGCCTCAGTCTTTCCCGCCTGTACAGGGGGAACAGTAGAACCTGTGAAAGGGTTCAGGGAAATAAGGAAAACAAGAAAGCGCTGTGCAGAGTAGGGGGTTAGGGTAGACAGAGGAGTGGGAGACGCAGATCCTGCACCGTGGCAGGAAAGAGGTTCCGGCTGAGGAGGAGGCCTGGGAGGCCTGGGGTGTCACTAATGAGGTCCCAGCAGACAGGGCTGGGCATGAGTGAGCTGAAGGATCCAGCCCTCCTCCATCCCGATGCTCGGCACACTTCAAATTAATAATTAAAATGCTTCCTGTCAGATTCCAGCCTGACACGTAATTAGAGCAGCTCCAGGCTTTAGGCAATGGTGATGAAAACAGTTCTTGTTAGAAAGAGACTTTTCTGGGGATCAGCTGGATGAGGATAGAATCCTCCTCCTTGGATTTTGCCATCAGGGCCTCCCTCCGTCTGCATTCCAGATAGATATAGACAGGGGTTTTCCTTGCAGCCTGGGGAGGGGCAGGGGCATGGATAGGAGCATCCATTTCCCCTCTGCCTGCTCCAGGAGGAGGCTGGACAGAGTGCCATCCTAGCTGACATGAGAGGGCAGAGCAGGGGTCTGTGCAGGAAGGAGGTAAGCTGGGGATTCCTTGGACTTTCAAAGTCCAGACAGCTAAATCTGGGTCCCGCTACAGATTCTGAATGCCACTCCATCCTGTGCACACAAGATATTGCTGTCATAGCCTTTCTTCCCAGCACTGCTGGGTAGTTGCTGAGCTCGGCCACCAACTCTTCAGAGGTCGAGGCATCTCAGGCCCCTCCCCACCTATTCCCTGGCATCTACCACCTCTTTCTAGCAAAAACCTTCCTATCAACAAAGGGGGGGTGTGGACCCCAGAGTTCTAGCTCCCAGCCCTGGGTTTCCTCAGCCTCCCACGAGCAAAGCTTGGGGGTGCTGTCCACGGTTCCACAGAAACTTCCAGTTTCAGTCTCTTCTCCTAGCAGTTCTCCCAGAGCCTCAGCCAGTCAACCCCTTCCTCCGGAGTCCAGTCCCCGAGCTCTGTCAAACCATCCTGCCTGCTCACCTGCCACCCGGCCTGGCCCCCTCAAGAGTGTGAAGGGACCACCACGGCTAAGCTCATTTGGGAGAGTCCCCCCCTACCTGGGGGCTTCACCCTGACGGCTCTGCCCTTAGGAGCTCGGCAATCAGCACTCATGCCAAAGCTACCTATCAGAAGAAGAAAATCATTTTAAAGTAATGTTGTGCTGCTTCATTGAAGTTGCCTTCATAAATATTTCAAAGGTGTTTATTAGGAAAACCACAGGAATAGAGAGGAGGCTGTGGAGACTGAGAGAAGAGAAGCCTCGTGAGGTCTCAGCCGCCTCTGCCACCACCATCAATGAAACATCTACTCCCTCAGAGGGCCTGGCCCTGTGAGGGCTGCAAAGAGGACAAGCCCACTTTGTTGGGTTACCCTCCCCCGCCTTGGGGAGGCAGCTACTCCGAAGCCATGTATCTGTCCCCAGATTGAACCAACCCCAGGAGGTAATATAACAGAGTCCCGTGGAGCCGGCGCTGAGCTGGTGCAGGGGCCTCCTAGGTCCTCCTCTGCGGGCTGTTCCCAGTTGCTGGACAGCTGTTCCCCTCTTCTGACTCAGGCTTCCCTTGTGGCTCAGTTGGTAAAGAATCCGCCTGCAATTCAGGAGACCTGGGTTTGATCTCTGGGTTGGGAAGATCCCCTGGAGGAGGGAAAGGCTATCCACTCCAGTATTCTGGCCTGGAGAATTGCCTGGGTCACAAAGAGTCAGACAAGACTGAGCGATTTCCACTTTCACTTTCTGATCCAGTCGTGCAGGGGAAAGAGCTGGGAGGTCCCTTCCTGGGCAGGCTGACGTACCCAGATTTGTAGATGCTGTCCTTCACTCTCCTCTCCCCACTCCCTCACTTACTCGCCTCTCCCCAGGCACATACCCATCCAGGACCACATCAGACTAGGAACAACAGAGCCAGAGCAGGTGCACAGGGTCAAACAACCAACCCCAGGAGCCCCTCAGCCCAGGCATCTCCGCCTTGTCTTGCCCCGCTCCAGTGGGCAGGGAGAGCCCAGCCCAGGATCCTGAAGAGGTGGTAAGACTGGTGTCTTCTTTCCCTTCTTCTCTCTGTGGGGGTGGCGCAGGGCTGGAGATGCCTTGACTGCCTCTCATACAGCTCCTCCCCTTGGGAAAGAGCCTCTTTCTCTTCCCCAAGCCAAAGCCAACAAGTCAATTAAACCCCGAGAAAGCAGATTTGATCTGCAGGCCAAGGGATTACATTGATCTGCAATGCTGGTACCCTGGGGGCCATGGCTGCCTCCCCTCGAGCCTGAAGCTCGTCTTTTGCCATCTTCAACTGAGACTTGAGCAATCCTCCCCACCCCCATCTCCATCCTCCCATACCCTTCCACCCCCGCCACACACTGTCTGATTGGCTATCCCCTCTCTGTAGGTCTCAGGTCAAATCTCTTCTGTTTGTACAGGCTGAGCCTGAGGCCATCTGTTCAGACCTATCCATTCACTCAGCTCAAGTGCAGGTGAGGTGCCCCTTGAAGCCACAGTCCTTTGGGCAATCTCTCTTCATCTCAGTCAACCAGAGAAGGGGGGACTGTTCTTGACCCCATTTTGCAGAAGTGACCTGCAAAGACACAGGGTACCCAGCACCCCAAGGGTTAGGAGGTAGCGGTCCCCACATAGAATGTGGGGGTGGGTGAACGGAGCTCAGGGAACCTTCCATGGTAAATAAAAAGGAGAAAGACTTGCAATTACCATATCAATTGTTTCTGGGTAAATAGGGGCTTCTAAGAGATTTTTAAAATAGATTATTCCTTTAAATAGGTTAGGCACCCTTTGACAGCCTCATTTACATTATTCCTTTGCTGGGAAATCCTTTTTTTTTTCCTTCTGGGGATAGTGCAGAAGTCAGTTTCAGCCTCACTGTGAATTCCATTCAGAGACTGGATGAATGTGGTTTGGGTACTTAGTGGAGGACAGAGGCTGCTCTGTGCCCCAGGCTGGGCAGGCAAATCCAGAACTACTCTGGGGAGAAGGAGATGAACTTCCAGAGAGCAGCAAAGGAGCCAGGGCTTTATTATGGCTGTGAAACACTTGAGGTGCAGTCAGGGATCCAGGGGATTCACAACAGGGAGTGCGTAGGATTCACACAGGCAGAGAAAAGAGGAGGCAGATTCAGTGAGGGAAGAACTTGAGCAAAGGCTTATAAAGAGGATTGAATATGGCCCATCCAACTCGTCCCACCCCACCAGTCACCTCTGGCCCCTTCTCCCTCATCACCCATCCTCCAGACAGAGCAAAATGGACTCCTCTCCCAGCACTACCAAGCCCACTCCACAGATGTCCCAGGTCTGGAGTCCCTGGCCGCCAGCACATTCTCTTGCTGCGGTGGTGGTATTGAGTCTTTAAGCCATGTCTGACTCTTTTTGATCCCATAAACTGGAGCCCACTAGGCTCCTTCTGTTCATGAGATTTCCCAGGCAAGAATACTGGAGTGGGTTGCCATTTCCTTCTCCAGGGGATCTTCTGATCCAGGAACTGAACCCAAGTCAAGTCTGGTAGGCTGCAGTCCATGGGGTCGCGAAGAGTCGGACACGACTGAGCAACTTCTCTTTCACTTTTCACTTTCATGCATTGGAGAAGGAAATGGCAACCCACTCCAGTGTCTTGCCTGGAGAATCCCAGGAACAGCGGAGCCTGGTGGGCTGCGGTCTGTGGGGTCGCACAGAGTCGGACACGACTGAAGTGACTTAGCAGCAGCAGCAGCAACAGCTCCTGCATTGGCAGGCAGATTCTTTTACTGCAGAGCCACCAGGGGAGCCCACACTCTTTTGCAGGGCTGACCCCTATCCTCCCGGCTGCATTAGGTGGGTAGATACTCAGAAGGGCAGCCTGGATGGAGAGACCAAGGAAATCAGCACCCTGGCCATGCTTCCCATGTCACAAGCCCTTGGCGTGGTCAGTCATGGAGGCTAAGCTCCCTCTGCAACCTGGTCAGCTTCGGGTTCTCAGAATGTTTACTGATGTGCCCACCAGTGAGCACATAGACTTCAAGCCATTACGAAAGCTGTAGAAATAAGAAGTAGGGTGTTCATTCATTAGCAACAAATTATCTTAGCAAAGAAGGCTAAATGTCAGTTCAGTGGCCAGCAGAGATAATGTTGGTCCTTTCCCCCAGTGCCCTGAGAGTGAGGGTCACATTCTGCAGGCACTGCTTAGGAGAGGATATTGAAATACAAGGGGGCTTCCCAGGTTGCACAGTGGTAGAGAAATCACCTGCCAATGCAGGAGCCTTAGGAGACATGGGTTCGATCCCTGGGTTGGGAAGATCCCCGGAAGTAGGAAATGGCAACCCACTCTAGTATTTCTTGCCTGGAGAATCCCATGGACAGGGGAGCCTGGCAGGTTACAGTCTATGGGGTTGCAAAGAGTTCGGACATGACTGAAAGACTGAGCATGCACACTGAAGCACAGAGGCAGGAAGGGAATGAGACAGGGTGCAGACTATCACCCCAGGAGCCTGACAGCCTGAATTATGGGACTAGACAGGGAGACTCCAGATAGCTAAGCTTTGAGACTGAGGGAGGACTAGAGGCCAGAGACCACTCAGGAAGGTGGTGGAAGGCAGTGGTAGAAGAAAGACGCTAACCTCAGGTTACTTTGGCTGCAGCAGGTCTGCAGAACGGTATAGGCCACAAAATACACTGGGGCAGAGGCAAGTTTGAGGCAGGGAGGAAGGGAAACAGGAAGAGTGTGAAGGCTGCTTTCTCGAGCCTGGCACACGCGCACAGCCCGCTGGGGTGCAGTGAGCAGGACAGATGGTCCTTCCCTTTGTGGTGCTGGAGGGAGGGAGGGAGCCAGGACCAGCTGCATGACTGTGCACATCTGGAGGCCTGGAGACAACAAGGGAGAGGGAGAAGGGGAGGCAGTCAGAGGAAAAGGAGGGAGCCCCCTGTCCCTGTCCTCAGGCTGAAGGGGGCTGCATCGTCATCCCTGGCGCCCCCTCTTTTCTCACTTCCCCAGAGCCTGGGTGCCTGATCTGACCAAGAGTGGCAACTGAGGGTTCCTGCTCTCCTCTGGGCCCTGCAACACAAGGAACAGGCCCTCCTCTTCTCCACACTAAACAAGATCCCTCCCCTTAACCTTCCTTGCACCTGTATTTTCTGTTCCTCCTTTAGTGAGAAAACAAACACTCTTTGGTCTGATTCAGTCTCATTGAGAACAACTGGCTTGTCTCTTGCCCCTGGTCTCAGAAGCCTCTGCTCTGGGCTGTCTCTCTGAATCCTCTTTTGCATTAACTTGTAAGGTAGGCTTGGGCCCCTGGGATATACACATCAGCTATTTAGCAGTGATCTCATTTAGCTGCATCAGAACTTCTAGGGATGGGCCGGGGAACTGCTATTATTAAAACTTCCTTAAGTGACTCTAAGGTGCAGCCAGGGTTAAGAACCAGTGGACTGATGTGATGTGGAGCAGGAGCGTGGTGCCCAGGATTATCTATTAGGGGCTGAAACATTTTCATCCATGGGCCTCCATCTGGAAGGGACAATGAGGAAACAGGTCCAGAGGAGGGCGATGGGGATGAGGAAATCATATCAGCTGAGGGGAGGGAGCGATTTTACTGCTCAGGTGCTGCGGAAAGGCTGGGAACAAAGGTCACAGACCCTTTGCTTCCGAGGGCTGGGATGTGTGTGCCCCGTGAGGCCCATCGTTCCCTGTGCTGTAACAGGCACCACCTCATTAGTGCTGAGATAGTGTCACTGTAATTACCTGGAACTGGTGGAGCCAAATGGCAGGTCACGAACACCCTCAGAAACAAGTGCAGAAAATTGAATGTGCCCTGAGGCACCTGCATCTAAGTGAGATGCTGATGGATGTGGCCCCATCCATTGTGGTCAGGTGCGGTGCATGCAGGATGCACCTTTCAGCCCAAGGCCCACTCCATCCAGCAAGAGGCAGACAAGCTCACCTCTAAGACTGGGGTCCTAGAACCATGAAGACCCCTAGTTCCTGGGGAATTGAGGCGGGGCCCCCACAAGTTAGGTGTTGAAGAGCAAGGCAATGCACGGTGGCGGGGGGGGGGGGGGAGAGATCCGCAGGCCTCATCCGCTGCTGGGTCAGGCTCCACTGTGAGTCTGAGTGCCTGGCTGGGGTGGCAATTCCTGGCACCCTTGCTGCCCTGTCCAGAATCGTTTTGCCAGTGGCCCTAAGTGCCCTTCACTAGCACATTCTTCCTGCCACGAGGACTGGCTGCAAAGGCAGCCCAAACAAGTGGCAACTCTACCAGCACTTAATATCTACAGGCCTATGGGCCAGTGATTAGGATGAGGCTGCATACTGTAGCAACTGGAGGACAAGGCTGCAGAATTTGTCTCCAAACTGTAGAAGCTGCCAAAGTCTATTCTAGAACAGCAGTGCTAGGAGATACTATGGAGCCATTTAGAAAGAATGAAGGAGGTCTCTGCAAAAAGCTAGACACAAAATAGTATATATAGTAGGATCCATTTATATGACATTCAAGAACAAGCAAAACGAATCGATGGTGAAAACAGCCAGAGTAGTCTCTCTGGGTGGGGCCACTGACTAGGCAGGGTCAGGAGGGAACTTTCTGGATCCTGAAAGTGTTCTATATCTTGATCTGGGAGATATTTACATGGTGATGTAAACACCTCTTAAAAAATTCACAGAGCCGTACACTGCGGACTAGCATCTTTTTTACACACTAGGTGTATGAGACACCTCAACATAAAAAGTAAAGAGAACTGACTCGAGAAAATGGTAAAGAAAACAGGGGAAAAAAGCTGTAGAACAGAATCTGTGATTTAATTTTTATAAATGAGTAAGCCTGGGGAAAAGTCTGGAAAGATAGCAAACTGTTAGTAGTACTTTCCCCTGAGTGAGGGGATTGGAGGTGAAGACAACCAGTTTCTACATTTCTATATTATTTGCATTTGTGGTGTTTGAATCCTCTGTCCCTCATACCTCCTCCACATTCTGGCTGCTCACTTCACGGTGGCTCCACTCCGGGTCACCTGAGTGTCCTGCACTTGGAGGCCTGGGTTCGGGGCTATTCAGGGCTATCTTTGGCTTCATGTCTCAGTTTAAGACTTGGGCTTTGCATTAAGATCTTTGGCCATTGCCCCGCTCAGAATTTGCAGGATCTGGGACTTTCCTGACAGTCCAGTAATTAAGACTCTGTACTTCCACTGCAGAGGGTGCAGATTCAAGTCCTAGTCAGAGAACTAAGATCCCACATGCCATGTGGCCAAAAAAATCTTTTTTACTACTAATAAAAAATAATCTGCCAGGGTCTCTGCTTATTGGGGAGATTCCCTGGAGAAGGAAATGGCAACCCACTCCAGTATTCCTGCCTGGGAAATTCCAAGGACATAGCAGCCTGGTGGGCTAGAGTCCATGCAGTGGTGAAGAGTCAGATACAACTCAGTGACTAAACAACTGTTCCTTGGCCCACACGTACCAGCATCCCCCTAGGCAACCATCTCCCGGGATGAGCCAGGTCAAGTGCCTCTGCCTGAACAGACACCATGGAAGGCGCTGTCCATGCTTGTGAGAGAGCGCTCTGAAGAGGAAGAGAGCAGGGAGAGAAAGGCAGGGTGACTCAGGCACGCCAGCCATTCTGTTTGTACCCCGACACCCAGTCTCCTCCTCATGAACGGTCAGAGCCACTAATTGGTCTTCACGGCCTTGGTTACAAATGGTCCTGGAGGTGAATTCCGGTCACACCTCAAGCCAGGAAAATGAACCCTGCTCTGTCCCCTCTTTAATATGGATGTGACACCTGCAGGCTACAGCTTGTCACACTGTGAGAATTATTTCTCCATTAAAATGCAGGAGTTGGAGCTTTGCCCAGGAAGAGCAGCTAAAAATACTGCTCTCTGGGGGCACCAGTCACTGGAGGGGACTGAATGGCCACCTTCCTCACCCTGCAGCCCCTAGGGAAGTCCCACACCCGCCAGGTCCCTCCCTCAAGCATCTGATATGGGGTCGTGTTTGAGCCATCTCCCAGCCCTGTCCAAAAGAAAAAGCACCAATTTCTGGGCCTGTTTTACTGATAGGCAAACTGAAGTTTAGACAACTTGCCCGGGGTCACTGTGCTCCATCTGCAAAATCGCCGAGGGAGCAAGTGTGTGCAACCTGATTGCAGGGAGGGAAAGATAAGCCATCACATGTGCCCAGCACTTTACAGTTTGTAGTATCTTCTTCCTATGTTGTCCAACCCTCACAACAATCCTACAAAACAAGAACTACTACTGTCCCCATTATACTGGTGTGGTTGATGCCTGGTGAGGTGAGGTCACGCTCAAGGGTACAGGGAGAAACATGGGGCAAAAGACAGAACCTTGGCTAAAGGTTTTTCAATCTAAAACCTACCCACAGCACCAGTGGGAGGGCCTTCTAGTAAGGTGACTGGACTCACTTCTAGGGCCATCGACTTTAGAAGAAGCACCACAGTTTGGAAAGAATTCCACATACCTTTCCAAAGGGCACTCATCACCCCTTCTTTTTAAAAATATTTTGCTGTTTAAAAAATTTTTATTTGGCCATGTGGGATTTTAGTTCCTTGACCAGGGTTTGAACCCATGACCCCTGCATTCAAAGCACAGCATCTTAACCACTGGACCACCAGGGAAGTCCCTTCACCCCTTCTTAACAGATAAAGCAATGAAGGTTCAGAGGGATGAAGGACTTGGGTCACAAGTCAGTAGCAGAGCCAGGAACAAAAGTCAAAAAGGAAAACAAGAAAAAAATTAAAAACAAAAGTCAAGTGGCCTGACCCCCAGCCCGAGCTCTTCCTGCTGCCTGAGGGCCCACAGAGTTTGGGGACTGACTGGTGGGCCAGTTCTGAGACCCTGGCCCCCAAGGGTAAAGGAGCCCAATGCACTTCTTCAGGCTCCCACATCCTTGAACCTGGTTCTCTGGAAATGGTTTGCTTGCCATGTTCACCTCCTCATCTTAGTCTTCGAAACTGGAAGGTGGTGAAAATTTTCAGGCCCATTTTTCATATAAGAAAACTAAGGCCCTGGGACTTCCCCAGTGATCTAATGGTTAAGAATCCAAATGCAGGGGGCAAAGGTTCAATCCCTAATCGAGAAATTAAGATCATGTATGCTGCACAGCGTGGCCAAAAAAATAAAAAATCTAAAGCCCAGAGAAGTTCAACTCCCAGCTCAGGATCAAAGGGCAGGGCTAAATGAGGTCTTAGACCTGGACATCTGACTCAGGCCTGGTGCCCATTCCACTGTGTCAGCCAAAAAGAGCATGCAGAGTTCCTTTTCTGTGTTAGCTTCTTCCTGGGTCTGTTTCCCCATCCATGAAATGGGGGCATGAGGCCTTAAACAAGCCTGGAGTCTGAATCTTCTGAGATAAAGATGTTAGGTGATACTTCTAGGAGTGGCTGGAGCCCCATACAGTGACCAAAGGGCCTGGCTTTCTGGACAGCCAGCATCCGTACCAAGTGGGTAACTGAAGTTAGAAAAGGGGCCATGGAAACCCAGCGACTTAAGGACAGTGAGAGTAAGGAGATCCAGGCACCCCTACTCTGGGCCTCAAATGTCCAGAAGGGAATTCTTCCAGTCGATCCCTGCTGCCATACAATTTAGAGAAAAAGCTTTCTACAAAGGCATTTATTTTTCCCAAAATGCACCCCCAGTTAACAAAATTTCTCAGAGTCCCACATTTAAATTAGAAACCCCCACATCTTTCATTCCTGGGGAAGGGAGGGATGTCAACAGGAGAACATCAGGTCCTCAGAAGTTTACTCCACTGGAGGTTGGGGACTGGCCAGAGACAAGCTAGAAACTGTCTGCCCGGCTCCGGAATAGCACCATGGTGGGGGAGGGTCGGTCCCTGCCCTCAGGCTCCCCCTGCGCTGCAGCTCCCAGCTCCCCCGGGTCTGTCGGGTCTGGGCTGCCTGTCCCCGCTGTGCATGCCTGGAAAGACACTTTGGAAACCATCAGATGCTCCAGTTGGGGCGAGAGGCTCTGTCTCTCTTTCCAGGTTTCTGGGCAAGGATGCGGGGTGGGATGGGAGTGAGGTATCCAGGGAACTGTGGTCCAGAAGAGGGGTTCAGCAGGAAGCAAGGCAGGAGCCCCTCACGAGTCCCTCTTGCCTCAAGGGTTTCTTGGCTGAAGGGCGCGCTCCTTAGGGAGGGGCTTGTCTTCTCACGCAGGGACCCCAGTACCTAACACAGTGCTGACGCCCAGAGATGCTCAGTGAACGTTACTTAAATGGATCAATGAAAGGAAAAGCAGAGGGACAGCAGCAGATCCCAAGGAGGCCCGCGCAGCCGCCCAGAGACCCAGTGTGACCAGCACGTACTTCCCGTGTGGAGGGCGGGGCTCACAGGGCACAGCCCCGGGTGCCCCGGAAGAGGCGGGGCCGGGGGAGGGCCTCACGTGTTCCAGCACGTGCACCTGCGCGTCTGCATGCCTGGGGGAGGGGCCCTGTGTTCACTTAGTGGAAGAGGGAAGAGGCTGACTTCGGGGCCAGAGCAGGAGGCGACGCCTCTAGTCTGGAGGAAATACTAAGGCTGCAGTGGCCTCCGCTGAGGAGACAGTTACGGGCGGATGGGGAAGAAGGCTGAGAAGTGATAACTAGTGTATCTGGACCATCGGAGACAAGGCGACTGGGAGACTGTGTACCACATCTTTGGAGAAAAATGGCAGCCAGATGGTCAGTGTAGCATATCCTTTGGGGAAATACGGTGGCGGGGAGGTCTGTGCATTGCGTCCGTAAGGAATAAAGCAGCAAGATGATTTAGGTATCGTGTCACTGGAGAAATAAGGCAGCAGGATGACTTGGGGATCGTGTCCATCAGAGAAATAAGGCTGCAGGGTGGTCTGTGTATCGTGTCCTTTGCAGAATGAGTAGATCCGCCAGAGTGGACGCCATCTGTTGGAGGCAGGGAAGCCCCCAGCTCAGAGCTCGCACTGAGGCTCCAGTGCAGCCAGAGGCGGGAGCCCCAGGGCAGGGGCAGCAGCTCCCTGAGCCTCGCTGTCAGACTATTTCTGGTCCATCATCTGCATTTCATGATGGGAAGGAAAAAAGAGGGGGGAGCGTTAAATGCGGGAGTGGAAGTCTCGGGAGTATGCCAGAACCCCAGGGATGTGGTCACATACTCGGGTGATGGGGGTGGTATGTGTGAGGGGGCCGTTAGTCTGACTGGCAGCCCCCACACCCAGCACTGCCCTCAAGGCTCAGATACACACACAGCTGCTGGGCGTCAGACTGATCATGAGGGTGCCTGAAGGAGACTGCCCAGTCCTCACTGGCTTCTCTCAATTCCCCTGGGTCCAGCCACCTTGCACCCTTCCCTTCCCGTGGTCCGGCACACTCTTCCCTTCCCCATGCTGCCCCCCACCCCGTCTATCCCCTGATTCATCTTCTCCACTCCATACGTTCACACCCATGGCCTCACTCTCCACCATGATCTGAATGGAGAGTTTATTTCCTAACAGGGACAACAAGGCAACCTGAAAGTTACTTAAGGCTCCATAACCTTTGGCCAAAAATTAAGGTCCCCAAACTTTTGACCTTCAAAGTGGAAGCCACTCATATTTAGTGATAAGTCTGCAGCGAGAAATAGCTTACTCAAAATACACAGACACACAGATATATACATATATTTATAAACAGACACACACAGAGGTGTAGCTTCTGGTCACTTTTAATAAAGAAGAATCTCAAACTAAAACTAACCTCCAACCACCCACTTCCTAATGTAACTGCTGATGTTATGATAATCTGACCAATAACCATCACTAACAATTATTAACCACTGACTGTGTACCAGGAACGTGCCTGTCCAGCTGAAAACCCCATTTCCTAGCCTCGCTTGAGTTGCAGTCACGTGACTAGGTTCTGACAAATGGATATAAACAGGAGTGACAGGAGCTATTTCTAGTCAAGCCCTAGAAAAAAATGTCCCCTCTCTCTCCTCTTTCCCTCTTTGTTCTGGAGGGTTGTGGGAGCTGGAGCAGCCACCTGGACCTGGCAGTGGAAGCTTTGAGTAGAAGAAGGCAGAAGCCCCATAGGAGGAAGCTGGTTCCAGGTTACCAGTGGCCTTAAGACAATCTTACTCCTGTCCCGGTTAAGCGTCTATCATACTTGTATCCTGTTAAGAGCACTGGGGCCTTGATTTCTCCGCCTGCTGCCATTTCAACAGGGAGGAGTCGAGGCTGTTCTTCAGGGGGAGGGAGCCTTGGGGCAGCAGCAAACCCATCACCAATGACCACCCCCTAGCCTCCTACACACAAGGGCATACACACACACACACACACACACAGATGCACAAACACCACATGTGTTTACCTTCTTTGTTTTCAGAGTGTTTCAGGGGCCGCAGGGCTGCAAAAGAGGAAGGAGTACACAGTGAAGGGGGGAACTGTGGAAAGTGGCGGTAAGGAAGAAATAAAGCCTAGAAGAAGGACTAGGAGGAGGAGGCAGGAGGGAGAAGTTGAGAGGGTGAGGAAAACATCACAGCACTGGAAAAGGGGTCTCAGCTGCTGCCCCAAGTTCCAGTTCTGCTCTGTGACTTGTCACTCCTCCCCCAGGCCTCAGTTTTCTGCATCTCTATAATGGGAACAACTCCCCGGCCCTCCTGTGAGTGAGATGTGAGAGTATCCTAAGCCTGCTCTACAAATAGGGTTAAGTGACGTGCTAAAGGAGGCTGCAGGTGTCACTAGGTAGGCCCGGGATCTTGCAGAACTGAGACTAAGCATGTCTCTAAGCTCCCCTCTTCTCCCCACTCCCTCCCTTCTACCAACTGAACAAGAAAAATGAGGCCTGATCCCAGGCTGTGTCTACACCTGCCACACCTGGACACCAAAGGCAGAGAATGAATTGGCACAGTTTACAGCAGTCTGCAGAGATCGATCTTCTGCCCTTCCTTCTCCAGGGACTGGGGGTAACCCATGTCAACTGGCACCATCACAGAGGGCTCAGCAAGGACCTGCTCCCCCAGTCCCTGGGCCCCGGGGAGGGAAAGCAGCAAGGCCTCCAGTGGCCGTGGGGCACCAGGGCCTTGGTGCCCCTCTCCAGGCTCCAGGCTGGTGTCCCCACAGTGCCAGGCCCTTCGCAAAGTCACGTGAGAGAGGTTCAAAACAGCCCTCTGGTGCCATCAGGAAAGGCCAGGAGGCCATTTTACAAATGGGAAGCTGAAGCCCGGAAGAAAAACACTGACCAAAGTTATTCAGCCTCTTACCAGAGTGGAACTGTGTCAGGCTAAAAACACAGTGCTGAGAACAGGACTGAAAACTACGGAGCCCTATGCAGGTCCCTGGCATGATATTCGGCCCTTAACGTACATGATCCCATTTAATTTAACTCACACCACCTCTGAAAGGAGCAGCTAGGCAGAAACTGAGGCCCAGAGAGGCAAAGTGACTTGCTCAAGGCCATTCGGCTTATATGAGCTGGGGCTGGAACTAAAACCCAGCCTGCCCTGCTTCCCGAGCCAGGTCCTTCAGGGTGGAGTGGCCCTGGGAGGTGGATAAAGATAGACAGGAGAAATGAAGCAGCCCCTGGGAGACCTGCCTCCAGGTCTGCTGCTGAGCAAAGGCCAGACTCACCTGGGCCGGGAGGCCTCAGTCCACGGGACACATTTCATTCAAACCTTCAAGTAAATGGGGCCCTTCCAGACCTTGGGGTCCCTGCCCCTGTCCCTGCATCCATCCTCAGCCAACAGAGTCCCTCTGGGTTCAGACTTACCCGTCTTGGATCCTTCTCCATCCCCATCGTGGTCCTCAGCTCCTGGCAGAAGGAACAGAAACTTCCTCAGCCCTACTCACCTTCATCACTGACCTGCTCCTGGGAATGCAGGAGGCAGGTAAATGGGGCTGAGCAGACCTGGCCTGTGGCTGGATGAGAGGGACCCCAGGCAGGAGCCCGCCACTCACCTGGCCAAGGACGATCCACTCACTCACCCACCCACCACTCACCAGAGTCAACTTCCCTACCAAGGTCAAACCTCCTACTGATCAATGTCAACCTACCACCTACCAATCACCAAGTCAACCCACACTGACCCCAGCAAGCAGCAGCTGCTTCAGACACTGTCCACTCTTAAGGATGACACATCCTCTCATGGGGACACACACAAACCCACAAAGCAGTCACGCCTGCGTGGCTTGATTTCCACGTGCTCTCACTCACAGACACACTCGTGTGACTTATGCTGTCACAGTCACACACAGACACATCCATCCCTTTGTTACACATTCACTACTCCTAGTCACACACTCACCCTGCATGTCTGCACACTCATGGGCAGGCTCACACTTGTTTAAGCACACGAGATCTGTTCAGCCTCCAGATCTCTCACACACACACACACAATATAGCTGCATTTGCACACACATTCATTCTGTCACTGGAAAGTGACACTCCTGTTGATGTCATGGACACACCAACATACCCGGAGACACATGCACACCCCCTCTCTCACTTGCCTGCATTCTCCTCCTCGCAGCTCTGTTTGATCTTTCTCCAGCACACGAAGGCCAGGGCCACCAGCAGTACGACGAGGCAGATGGAGAGCCCCACGGTCACCCACAGGGCCTCGGGGGGGAAGGTCATGGGCTGCCCTGGGAGGGGAGATGGAGAGAATGGGGAGAGACTGTCATGCCTGACCCCCAGTGGCCCTGAGGACAAGCCCTCTGACTCCAAAGTGTGAACAGGGGGCTCCTACCCTCATGGGGCCCCCGCACCATGAAGAGAGCTTACATAAGCTCCCATGCCCATTCCCCCCACATCCACAAACCCTCCAAAGCCTGATACAGCTGGGATTGCCATGGGCAGGCCTCAACCTGGGAGGGTTGAAGAATCTGTGGTCCACGATGCTCAAGAACCTTCTATGGCTCCCTACTGACATGAAGAGTGCTTCAAGCTTCTCTGTAATTCCATTCTCTGTAGAGATGACTGGCTGCTCCCAGCCCCTGCACCACTGCTGTCGGTGTCCTCTACCTGAAAAGTGCTTCCTCACTCTCCACCTGGCTTATGATTCCTCCCCAGGAAGCCCCCCTTCCTCCCCCAGCCCCACCTGGGGATATTCTCCACTTTACAGATCAGGAGTTGGCAAACCACAGTCCATGGGCCAAATCTGGCCTGTGTCCTGTTTTTGTACAACCCACGAGCTAATAATAGTTTTACATTTGTAAAGGGTTACCAAAAAAGGAAAGACAGCAGCAACAGAGATGTTATGTGGCCCACAAAACCTAAAATACACATACATCCAGCCTTTGACACAAGATGTGTACAGATTCCCGCATAAAGATGAGGGCGGACACAGAGGGCACCAGAGTACAGGTTTACCCCTGAGAAGGAGACTTGCCAGGGGAAAGTGCTGTGAAACGCTGAGGGCCCTCCTGTAGGCTATCTCGGGGCAGAGGGAAGGAGCTGAGCTGCCCTCGGCTGGGTAAGGACCCACAGCTGTTCCGAATGCACTATCTTCCAGCCCAGCCCCAGGATCCACATGGGGTCCTGGGCAGAGGCCTTGGGGACAACACATCTAACAAAAACTCCTGCAGAAGATGCCATCAGAGCAGAGAGCAGTGCCTCAACCCTCGGGCAGTGGAGGCCTTAACACGGATATGGGGATTTGTGGCCAGAGTCACTTCCAACAGGCATGGCCGGTTACACTGCTGCTCTGGATATCAGCAGCAAAGGCACCCATCACCTTGGGGAACAGGAGCAGGAGAGAAAGACAGCAGCTGACACAAGAGGACAGGCCAGCCAGCCCATGAAGCACATGGAAGGGACCCCTGGGAATCCAAAGCGGGGGAAGCTCCCGCTGGAAAGCATGGAGCAGACCACAGAAACGCCCAGCAGGTGGGGCTCCTGCCCTGTCCAGCCCTGGGCTGGTGTTGGTACCTGGAGCACAGGTCTGACTTGCCTTCGTCCCACCAGCCAAGGACAGAGCGGGGCTCAGACCTGCATCCTCAGACTCCACATCCAGGGCTTGCTCCACAGAGCCCCCTCCACATACAGCACATGCAACTAACCTCCAGCAGGTGCAGAGGGACCAGGCTGGAGGACTCAAGTCTGAGTCCCAGAACGTTTTCCAAGGCACAAAGCTGCCCGAAGCGAAATACAGGCCAAGGGCTCCAAAGTAGGGCAGACCTGCTCTCGCAGAAACAGGAGGCTGGGTGGTGGGGAGGAGAGGAAATTAGGCTGAGAGGCTAAAAGTTGGATTCTGGTTCATCTGCTCACTGCAGGATGCTGGAGCCAAGGTCCACAGACCCCCATGGATGAGTGCAGTGGGGCCACAAGCCCTCAAAACTTAAATGCAAATGACTGCATTTATCATGTATCCAGTTTTCAGAGAGGTGGCTAATCCCCAAAGAGTCAGAGCCACTGTGCTAGGCTGTGGCCTTGGGAAAGTTCTCTCTTCTCTCTGGCCTTCAGCTTCCTCATCTGTGAAATGAATGCACTTTAAATGCCAGCTACTACAATTTTTAATATTTTTCTCTCAGGTGGGGAAATGTCCCCACTGAGCAGGAAAGGAGGATAGTACCAGGAAGCACATGGAAGAAACCCCTGGGGATCCCAGGGTGGGGCTCCTGCAGAAAAGCATGGAGCAGAGCCACAGAAACACCCAGGTGGAGGGGCTCCCACTATGTCCACCCCTAGGCTGGTGTTGGTGCCTGCAGCACAGGTCAGGCTTGTCCTCATTCTGCCAGTCAAGGACAGAGTGGGGTTTCAGACCTGCATCTTCAGGTATACGAGTATAATTGCATACTCATGAGCCCTTTCTACACAGGGTGGTGAATAGCCAACTCGGCTCAGTGTGCAAATTATCACAAAGATCACCAACCCTTCAAGGTCCCTTCAACTCCCACCTGTCCCTAGAGACTTCTCCTGAAACTGCAGCCCATTCTGATCACTCCCCCCTTCTCTGAAAACTTCATTCTCTGTCGATCCTGCTGTATCTAGTATTTCTGATTCTCTCCTGTGACTACATCAGACCATATGCTGATGTATCTAAAAGGTCAAGGAGACCCCATGGGACATCCAACAGCCCAGAGCAGTAACTCCCCCACAGAAAGTATAGGCCTAGGGGTCTCCAGAAAGAGGGTGAAGTCAATCTTGGGGAGGGGGTGGGCAAAGGGAATAAAGCCTTGCCAGAAGGAAAACCATGAATGAGGAGGAGGAGGAATGAGCCTGAATTCCTAGAAGGCAAATGTGATGGACACTGGCAGAAGTGAAGGCCACGCAAGGTCCATGCAAATGGGGCACAGGAAGACAGGAGTGAGTCAGTGAAGCCTGAGGCTTGCGCAGAAACTGGTTATCAGGGGGATCAGGTCTTCTGTGGGCTGCAGGTCAGGTGGAAGTCATGGGAAAGAAATAGGAGAACCAGATGGACAGAACCTGCTGTCCTGATCCCAGAGAATGCAGGGAGGTCCCTAGGAAAGGTTAGCTGTCCCAAGGGGAGGTACAGAGGAGCCAGAATGAGATCCAAATAAGGATGAAGACTGCCTCTCCCTGGCCTGAGTGTAGGTCTGAGCCCTCTTCACACCTCCAGGCACAAGGGGTACCCACTGAGGTGGGCACTAAAGGAAGGGAAGTGTGTCTGGGCTAGGAGCCCAAAACTAGAGATTGAGGGAATTGCCAAAGGGGGCAGAGTTGATCTGGTGTTTGACCACAGGGGGGCAGCAGAGAGAGCCCAGCCATTCCAAAGGGGGCCAGTACTGTGTGCCGCGGTTAGTTGCGACCCCAGGGACTTGAGCCTGCCAGGCACCTCTGGGGATTCTCCAGGAGGAAATACTGGAGTGGGTTGCCATGCCCTCTTCCAAGGGACCTTCTCAACCCAAGAATCAAACCCAGGTCTCCTGCATTGCAGGTGCATTCTTTACCAGTTGAGCTACCAGGGAAGTTCAAAGGCTGGCTGGGTCCAGTTTAATTCCATCAGGAGAGCTGACATTGATGGGGTGAGGGGTCTGACCACCTGGAGAGGCCCAGCTGTCTCTCAGGCTCTCACAGTCAGATGGTGCTCAGCAACAGATGGTGACGTAGCAACACCTTCCCAGCACTTGGAGAGGTTCCCGTAGGAAAGCACTCCATGTGACAGAGCTATGCCTTGTGGCTTCTCTAGAACTCCCTCCTGGAACACCTCCAGATTCCAGGCAGGTATTCAGTCCCCAAGTACCAAGACACTCTTAAGAGGGCAAATACTACAAATGATTCTTACTGCACAATATAGCAAGTCCCTTAAGGTCTGCTTGGGGGAGAATTTGAGACATGTGAAATGTTAAGGAAAAAAAAAATTTTTTTAATCTTGACCACCCAAGCCTATTTGAATTCTGGCTCAGAGTCTAGATAAAAAGGGATGGTTCTTTCTAGCCTTCCCCAGCTGCTCGTCGGCCCCTACCTGTGATGGTGACCGAGCCGTGAGCGTCCTGCTGCAGCACGGGGTTCCGAACCAGGCAGCTGTAGGTACCATTAGCGCCCAGCACCACTCTCAGGACGCTGTGCACGTCGAACAAGCCCTGTTCGTTGGCCATCTGCGACGTGGTCACGTTGCTGGTCAAGGGCGCACCCTGCCCATCCTGCCACAACACTTCGGCCTCGGGGTAGCCCCGGTAGCTGGAGCACGTGATGGTCACCGTGTCCCCCGGCCTCAGGTCCTTGTTGGGCTCCAGGGTCATGCTGGGTTTTGAGTAGGGAGCTGGATGGGGAGCAGAGGATAGAGGGCAAAGGTCAGGTTAAGGCAAGAGCAGTGGGACACAGTGGAGGGAAAGAGCGCCTGGGGCTGTGAAGACAAGCGTCAGCACTAGGGCAGTGGGTAAAGGGCTGCGGGAAGTGTGAGGGGTGTGCCAGGGGGAGGGCGCCCCCTTTCGCGGCTCTCACCTGCCACCTGCAGGCTGACCGCGGCGCTGCCGAAGTCCCGGATGCTCACGAAGCAGGTGAAGCTGCCCTCATCAGCCACGCGCACGCGCTGTAGCCTCAGGGACGCGTTGCCCTGAGCCAGCAGGTCTGGGAAGAGCGCTGTGCGGTTGGCATAGGCGCTGCCCTGGTCGCGGCCCTCTGCGAAGCTGTGCACCAGCTGTTTGGTGTCTGTCAGCTGCCAGATGAGGTTGAGCTGTGCCAGGCTGAAGTCGGGCTCGGTCGAGAAGGAGCAGCGCAGGGTGGCGTCGGTGCCCACGAGGGCCACCACGGGATCTTCCGGAACCTGGACTTCCACCGCACCTGAGGGCGAGGTTGAAGCGGCAGGGCAGTGAGGAGGGGTGGGGACACTCGGCTACCACCGGACTGCCTCCCATATCTCCTCCATCGACCCCCAGGTCCCATGCCATCTTCCCATTTTCTCCCTAGACCTAAAAACAGATTGAGTCTCAACACTTCCAGACATCTCCCTAATCTTCTGACAAGAATCACAGCAACTTGGCCTTGGCCTGACGAGGTCCATCTCCCCGGGGGAACTGGCCTAGGGCAGCCTGCAACCCTAGCAAAACTCCCCTCTCCGCCAGGACCCATTTCCCTCTCCTATCCTCCGACTCTTTTCTGAGATCTGAATGCTTCTCCACTCTTTCCACAGGTTTCCAGAGCCCTGGAGTCAGGAGACCCAGAGAGCTGAGACGACCTGTGATCATCACGCTCACACCTACTCCTGCCACGGTAAGCTTTCCCTCTATGCAACCTATGTATGTTTTCTGTTATTATTATTGGGCGTCTCTCTGTTCTTGGAGACTGAAGGTAAGGAGCTAGATTCAGATACCATGACCAGTGGAGATTGGGCCAACTCCCCGCCCCTGCCCCCCACCCCAAGGGACATTTAAGAAAAGAAAAGAAAAACCTGTGGGGTTTCTATGGGGCGTGATGGTGACCGAGCCGTGAGCGTCCTGCTGCAGCACGGGGTTCCGAACCAGGCAGCTGTAGGTACCATTAGCGCCCAGCACCACTCTCAGGACGCTGTGCACGTCGAACAAGCCCTGTTCGTTGGCCATCTGCGACGTGGTCACGTTGTCGGTCAACGGCACACCCTGCCCATCCTGCCACAGCACTTCGGCCTTGGGGTAGCCCCGGTAGCTAGAGCACGTGATGGTCACCGTGTCCCCCGGCCTCAGGTCCTTGTTGGGCTCCAGGGTCATGCTGGGTTTTGAGTAGGGAGCTGGAGGGGAGCAGAGGGTAGAGGGCAAAGGTCAGGTTAAGGTAAGAGCAGCGGGACACAGTGGAGGGAAAGAGCGCCTGGGGCTGTGAAGACAAGCGTCAGCACTAGAGCAGTGGGTAAAGGGCTGCGGGAAGTGTGAGGGGTGTGCCAGGGGGAGGGCGCCCCCTTTCGCGGCTCTCACCTGCCACCTGCAGGCTGACCTCGGCGCTGCCGAAGTCCCGGATGCTCACGAAGCAGGTGAAGCTGCCCTCATCAGCCACGCGCACGCGCTGTAGCCTCAGGGACGCGTTGCCCTGAGCCAGCAGGTCTGGGAAGAGCGCTGTGCGGTTGGCATAGGCGCTGCCCTGGTCGCGGCCCTCTGCGAAGCTGTGCACCAGCTGTTTGGTGTCTGTCAGCTGCCAGATGAGGTTGAGCTGTGCCAGGCTGAAGTCGGGCTCGGTCGAGAAGGAGCAGCGCAGGGTGGCGTCGGTGCCCACGAGGGCCACCACGGGATCTTCCGGAACCTGGACTTCCACCGCACCTGAGGGCGAGGTTGAAGCGGCAGGGCAGTGAGGAGGGGTGGGGACACTCGGCTACCACCGGACTGCCTCCCATATCTCCTCCATCGACCCCCAGGTCCCATGCCATCTTCCCATTTTCTCCCTAGACCTAAAAACAGATTGAGTCTCAACACTTCCAGACATCTCCCTAATCTTCTGACAAGAATCACAGCAACTTGGCCTTGGCCTGACGAGGTCCATCTCCCCGGGGGAACTGGCCTAGGGCAGCCTGCAACCCTAGCAAAACTCCCCTCTCCGCCAGGACCCATTTCCCTCTCCTATCCTCCGACTCTTTTCTGAGATCTGAATGCTTCTCCACTCTTTCCACAGGTTTCCAGAGCCCTGGAGTCAGGAGACCCAGAGAGCTGAGACGACCTGTGATCATCACGCTCACACCTACTCCTGCCACGGTAAGCTTTCCCTCTATGCAACCTATGTATGTTTTCTGTTATTATTATTGGGCGTCTCTCTGTTCTTGGAGACTGAAGGTAAGGAGCTAGATTCAGATACCATGACCAGTGGAGATTGGGCCAACTCCCCGCCCCTGCCCCCCACCCCAAGGGACATTTAAGAAAAGAAAAGAAAAACCTGTGGGGTTTCTATGGGGCGTGATGGTGACCGAGCCGTGAGCGTCCTGCTGCAGCACGGGGTTCCGAACCAGGCAGCTGTAGGTACCATTAGCGCCCAGCACCACTCTCAGGACGCTGTGCACGTCGAACAAGCCCTGTTCGTTGGCCATCTGCGACGTGGTCACGTTGTCGGTCAACGGCACACCCTGCCCATCCTGCCACAGCACTTCGGCCTTGGGGTAGCCCCGGTAGCTAGAGCACGTGATGGTCACCGTGTCCCCCGGCCTCAGGTCCTTGTTGGGCTCCAGGGTCATGCTGGGTTTTGAGTAGGGAGCTGGAGGGGAGCAGAGGGTAGAGGGCAAAGGTCAGGTTAAGGTAAGAGCAGCGGGACACAGTGGAGGGAAAGAGCGCCTGGGGCTGTGAAGACAAGCGTCAGCACTAGAGCAGTGGGTAAAGGGCTGCGGGAAGTGTGAGGGGTGTGCCAGGGGGAGGGCGCCCCCTTTCGCGGCTCTCACCTGCCACCTGCAGGCTGACCTCGGCGCTGCCGAAGTCCCGGATGCTCACGAAGCAGGTGAAGCTGCCCTCATCAGCCACGCGCACGCGCTGTAGCCTCAGGGACGCGTTGCCCTGAGCCAGCAGGTCTGGGAAGAGCGCTGTGCGGTTGGCATAGGCGCTGCCCTGGTCGCGGCCCTCTGCGAAGCTGTGCACCAGCTGTTTGGTGTCTGTCAGCTGCCAGATGAGGTTGAGCTGTGCCAGGCTGAAGTCGGGCTCGGTCGAGAAGGAGCAGCGCAGGGTGGCGTCGGTGCCCACGAGGGCCACCACGGGATCTTCCGGAACCTGGACTTCCACTGCGGCCCCTGAGGGTGGGACGGTGAGAACAGGGTGGGACACTCAGGACCTCCCCAGTTCCCCTCCCCTTCCGAGTTAACTTCAGGCCCGGTCCACTCCTTTTTTAAGGGCTGAGGATAGTTTACTGTGATTCTAGTTCAACCAACATGAATATAGTAAGTACATGCTATGCCAAGGGTAAGCATTAGGAATGCCACAGAGAACACCAGGTCACACCTCTGAAGAGCTTAAATTTTAGTGGGAGAGAGAGACAAACTAGCACACAAATTCTTGGTAGCATGTGATTAGGAGTTTAAGGAAGAAAGAAGCCAATGGATAGAAAATAAAGATGCAGTTTAAAAAAAATCTGGCAGGTGCATGACACCTGTCTGTGCTGGCTGCATTTCCCAAGTATACACTATCTTTGTAAATTGTGAAAAGAAAATCTAAACAATAATATGCACCCAAATGTTATTATTAGTGGTTTTCTCTGGATGAGAAAGAATCACAAGTGCTTTTTCTTTTCCTCAACAAAGATGATTAGTTTTTATGCAAGAAAGAGAGATTACCCATGCATTTAAATATGGTGGTGAACCACATTCTCCATAAAGAGATATTAAGCTGAGATTGAAAGGGAATGAAAAAAGAGTCTGACACAGTCAGAGAAAAGCCCCCTAGGGCAGGTTGCCCTGTTCCCACCCCTGCCCTCTCTCCTGTGGGTTTACCCTGCAGCCTCCCACCCAGTCACCTCTGCCTCCAGTCTAGCTCTTCTTTTAGAGCCCTGGGACGTTAGGTAGGGGTTCCTGACAGCTTTTCTTTTGCTGATATGTGCCCCCTAGCCTGGCACTGCCATTCTTGGGCAATGCTTATGTTAAGTGTGTGCTCTGGGCACCAGCAAAGCAGGCACACTCAGGAAGAGTGAAGACCAGTCTTGAAACAAAGCTAGCTGAATACAGCACTCATTAAAGTTTTCTCACATTTTGAAAAATAGCATTTTATAGTTAGTATTTTCATTGTTAATTACATACAGGGAGGTGGTATCATTGTCTTTGGGCTTCCCTGGTGGCTCAGAGAGTAAAGAATCTGCCTGCAATGCAGGAGACCCAGGTTCGATCCCTGGGTCAGGAAGATCCCCTGGAGGAGGAAAGGCAACCTACTCCAGTATTCTTGCCTGGAGAAATTCCATGGACAGAGACGCCTGACGGGCTACAGTCCATGGGGTCGCAGAGAGCTGGACACAGCTGAGCAAGTAACACACACACACCCACACACACACACCCATCATCATCTTTGCAGTGTGTGGTCATCTCTAAAGGCCTTAAGCTGTCACTGGATCTCCTTCCAGGCTGCCAGGCACCACAGGCCAGCTCTCCAGTTGGAGACCAACAGGGTGCCCCTTGTATGGGGGCACATGGGGGATGAAATCTGAGGAGTCACCCAAAGCCCTTTCTCTAGAGAAATCAAAGTACCGCTGGGTAAAGCGGTGCTTCCTTCTTTTGACCACCAGATGGCACCAGACACTCAGCTTTGTCTTCCCCCTTGGAGGAGGCCATCTCCCTCTGAGCAGATTAGGATTTGAAATATGATGGTGTTGTCATTAAAGTAGGTGCCATTATTGAAAGCCAACTCTGTGCCAAGAACTGTGTGGGAAGACTTATATCCTTTATTCAATATGGTTATTGAGCACTTGCTATGTGGCTGGCATTAATCCTGGCCCCGGGGATACATTCTGCTCTTTGAGCAGAGCAGGCAATAAGCAAGTAAACATATAATATGTCAGGTGGAGATTAGTGTTGGGAAGAAGCATAAAGTAAGGTCAGGGAAAGGGAGGGAAGAGATGTTATTCTATACACAGTAGCCAGGAAAGCCTGGGCAAGGTGACATTTGAGCAATGGCTTGAATGAAATATGGGATCGAGTCATGCAGACGGGTGGGGGCAGAAAGTTTTAGGCAGACGGGACAGTATGTGCAAAGGCCCTCGGGAGGAAGCACACGTGTGTTTAAGAAACAGCCTTATCACATTTAGTGCTCACGTTACCATTTTACAGATGAGAAAACAGAGGCTAAGAAATGTAAAGTAAGGTGGATCCCAAGGTAGGAATGAGGTGGACAGGGCACAGAGGAGATTCGGAGGCAGTTAGCCAAAACCGTCCCGGCCCTGCCAGACAGGCCTGGTGGGCACCTCGAGGCCCCAAACTGCCCCCCTCACCTGTGAGGCAGAACCACAGCACTCCCAGGGCGGGGGCCACACTCACACCCGTGCTGCCCGGTCCACACAGCATCTTCCCGTGAGGCAGCTGACAGCTGGGCTCTCCGTGATGGAAGGCTGCCCCTGCCTGTGAGGAAGAGGAAGTGAGGCTTCTGTCTCAGAAGGTCCTTACCAAGCCCTCTCTCTCACCTCATCTCCCCTGGACCAGCCTGTTGGAAGGCTGCAACAGCCCACTGGGAGGTTCTCCTTCCCACACCCTACAGGGCTCCCCACTGAGGGATATTTTGAGAGATGCTGGCAGGAGGGAATTGAGTCCCTGGGGAGGCTGGATCAGGGGAGGCAGGGCTGCAGGCAGTTAGGATCCACCCCTTCTAAGATACTGATATGCAAACAAAAGATAGGAGAGGCAGGCCAGCCTGGCCTGCTCAGGGCAATGCAGGTATGTACACAGATCAGTTTGGCTCAGCTGGTAGAGGAGAATAAGACTTAGAGATTGGCTAAGACATTATTTTGCTGACAAAGGTCCATATAGTCAAAGCTCTGGTTTTTCTAGTAGTCATGTATGGATGTGAGAGTTGGACCATAAAGAAGGCTGAGCACCGAAGAATTGATGTGTTTGAATTGTGGTGCTGGAGAAGACTCTTGAGAGTCCCTTGGACTGCAAGGAGATCAAACTAGTCAATCCTAAAGGAAATCAGTCCTGAATATTCATTGGAAGAGCTGATGCTGAAGCTCCAATACTTTGGCCACCTGATGCGAAGAGCTGACTCATTGGAAAAGACCCTGACGCGGGGAAAGACTGAGGGCGGGAGGAGAAGGGGACGACAGAGGATGAGATGGTTGGATGGCATCACTGACTCGATGGACATGAGTTTGAGCAAACTCCAGGAGATAGTGAAGGACAAGAAAGCCTGGCATGCTATAGTCCATGGGGTCGCAAAGAGTTACGACACAACTTAGCGGCTGAACAACATAACAAGAGGTCAGAAGCTTATCCTAAAGGCAGCTGGGAGTCACTGAAGGTTCTGGAATAAAAGAAAGGATATGGTCAGAGCTGTGTTTCATAAAGATTACACTGACAGCATCTGCAGGATAAATGAGAAGAGTTGGACAGACGGGACAAAGCAGGTCTGGGGAAAGTGTCAGCATGGAGGGCAGGGGAGAGAGGGAGGAAGCAGCCAGGGTGGCCATGGTTTGAGCCTAGGGACCAGGTAGAGCATTTGTGGAGGCAGAGAGCAGGGAAGGGTTTAGGGTAGGGTGTGTGCAGCGAAAGGTGTTTGTGCAGGAACTTCCGGGCGAGACTTCTGAAGGCGGCCCGGTGAAAGAGCGTGGGGCTCAAGGGAAAGGACATGGGCTAGTTTAACATGCATATACTGAGCAGAAGTGGCCTGTTCTGAGACTGATCCCCGCCCCCAGACTGGAATCAGGATTGAGTGGGGGTATTTCAGCGACCTCCCAGGTCCAGCCCTGCTCCCAGTCCCTGGCTTCCTCCCACCCCACCCCCAATGCTGTCTGCCTTTTCCCCAGGTCTCACAGTTGCTGCCTGATTGTCACATCCTGACCAAGCCATGTGTCACCAGGGTCGAGTCATGCTATTGACAAAAATAGGAAAGGTTTTACATTCCTCAGACCACCCAGGGAGCCAGGCTGCCTGACTTGGTCCTATTTTGCAAGAGGAAAAAAAATTAAAGCCCAGATAAGTGAGGGGACTTCATATTTTTCACAAAGTTGGGAAGGGTTTGCATTCTCCACCCCTGCCACGCCTCTCTGCCCTTCCAGGGAGCGAATGGCATCAATAGTTGAGTCGGCATCAATTTCAGTCGCAGGCACCCAGTCTCAACCCTCCCAATCCCAGCCAAGCACTGCCTGCCTCCCCCCTCCCCCACACCCAGCAGCTGAGCTGAGGGAGTCCCCTTGGCCAAGCCAGGTGCATCCTGCGCCCCCCCCCCCCCCACCTCCCAGCTGTCCACAGTGGGGAAGCCCTGAGCAGCCACTTCCCTCCTAGACAGTTCCGGTCCAAACCTGGCAACCTCAAAGCCTTGCCGCCTGCTGAGTCAGCAGTCTCCAAGGTCCATGCATAAAGGCACCCTTGGCAGGCACCACATCCTGCCTACAAGGGCCACCACAGACCGAAGGGAAATACTGGCAGGCAGTGGCCAGCCATGCCTGACTGTCTGCTGAAGGAATCACAGAGACTAAGGATTAAGGAGCTCTCATTTATCCCAAGACAGACCAAGGCCTGTCCTTCCTGGGTCTCCCTCCCTCTTCCCACTGCTGCCCATGCCTAGCATCTCCCATCCTGACCTGGGCGGCCAGGGCTCCTGTGATCCTCCCGTGACCCTCCACTCCGCCCCTGCCCATCCCACACTCTGCGTCTCCTCTTAGGACCTGACGCAGGGATCTGCTCATATCCTTCCTCTGCAAGGCCTTCACATGATTCTCCATTTACCACGGGAATAAATGCACACCACTCTGCCTGGCTCTTAAGCCTTTTCTGATGACTGTCTCCTCCATTCATCAAGCTAATTCCTGCTGCTTCTGCTGGGTTTACTTGCCAGGGTTGCTTGGACTGGCTGCCACCTCCTTGAATGTGGGGAGGTCTCCCAATCTAATCAGCTTGCCCAAGGGCCGAGCTGTCCTTCCCTCCTGAGGGAAGGTGAGGATTTCCGGGGGTTAGGGGGAGTGGTCAGTCAGTTCAGTCTCTCAGTCATGTCCGACTCTTTGTGACTCCGTGGACTATAGCACACCAGGCTTCCCAGTTGCATCGAGTCAGTGATGCCATCCAACCATCTCATCCTTTGTCCTCCCCTTCTCCTCCTGCCTTCAATCTTTCCAGGGGTTGGATTTGCTCCCTGCAACTCCTTTGCTAGACTCTGGGCTCAGGGAAGTTCCTGTCTCATTCATTCCCTGGGGAGAAGCCTTGACAGCCCAGAACCAAGGGCAGGGAGAGGCTCCCTCCCCAATAGCTGGGCTCCTAGAGCTGAGGGCAGGAGCGGGGAACACATCTCAGAGAGGGTATTGCTAGGCAACAGAAGCATGACCTGTGACCACTGGGACAGACCGGCTGCCCAGCACACAGCAGGTCACGGAGACGCACAGGCCTCAGGCTGCATTCACACCACCCTGCCCACCTTTTCTACAAAGGGGAATTCTCACCCTCAGGCAGGATGCCCTGGAGTCAGCATGTGCCACCCCTCCCAGTGAGTCACCAGTCGGTTTTCCCTCCTCCTCTTCCTCCATCCTCATCGAGCCTGTCCCAGCCAAATGTGGGAATTCCAAGGAGCCCTGGCAGGAAAGCCACAGGGTGGCTTTCTCAGAGAAGCAGGAGGAAGGGGCCCAGGCCACCCGAGGCATCCAACCCCAGCAGAGGTGGAGCCACAAGGAACCTCCCCAGAGTGACCTCCAAAAAGCCAAAACCAAAAATCAAGGGCTGAGGTGGCTCTATACCACGATGCCCTGGCTCTGGGGACGGCTGAGGGGAACTCCTTGCCCCTACCATGACCACCGGCAGCGCCCCATTTTCTCTTAACCCTCCTGCCTCTTCCCAACCCCTGCAGGGGCTGCTTGGACAACACCTCCCCCAGAAGGCAAGAAGGATCAAGTCACAGAACTAGTGTCAATCTTTGCTAACCAGCACTGGATAGAAGAATAGCTTCTGAAAACAGCAGTTAAGTCCCTGGAGCCAGCTCTGCCTGAAGCAAGCTGCCTACCTAGACTGCCCAGACACTTGAGCCAATCTTTTTTTTTTTTTTCTCAAGCTAGTTTGAGTTAAATTTCTCTTATCTGCAACTGAAGGTTGTTCTTGTCATTGTTTAGTCACTAAGCTGTGTCCAACTCTTTGTGACCCTACATACTATAGCCCGCCAGGCTCCTCTGTCCATGGGATTCTCTAGTCAAGAATACTAGAGTGGGTGCCCATTTCCTTCTCCAGGGGACCTTCCCAACCCAGGGATCAACCCCGTATCTTCTGCTTGGCAGGCAGATTCTTTACCACTGAGCCACCTGGGAAGCCCTCCTTGAATATATATTCCTGTATTTAGTTATTCACTGAACTATTCATTGAGTGCCTGGTAGGCAGGCACTGGGGCCAGAGAGAGGACCAAGCTGTGTCTGTCCTCAAGGAGCCTGAGTTCCAATGCATAGAAATCACTGCAGTTCAGTACAGAGTACTATTTAAGATAATTGAGAGCTATTTGGAGGCACATGCTAACCCTAAGGGTGAGTCCTGACAATCGATGAGCAGCTCCCCAGGTAATTCAGTTCAGTCGCTCAGTCGTGTCCGACTCTTTGCGACCCCATGGACTGCAGCATGCCAGGCCTCCTTGTCCATCACCAACTCCCGGACTTTACTCAGACTCCTGTCCATTGAGTCATGATGTCATCCAACCATCGCATCATCCCCTACTCTTCCCACCTTCAATCTTTCCCAGCATCAGGGTCTTTTCAAATGAGTCAGCTCTTCGCATCAGGGGCCAAAGTATTGGAGTTTCAGCTTCAACATAAGTCCTTCAAATGAATGTTTAGGACTGATTTCCTTTAGGATGGGCTGGTTGGATCTCCTTGCAGTCCAAGGGACTCTCAAGAGTCTTCTCCAACACCTCAGTTTAAAAGCATCAATTCTTCGGCGCTCAGCTTTCTTTATAGTCCAACTCTAACATCCATACATGACTACTGGAAATTCCATAGCTTTGACTAGATGGACCTTTGTTGGCAAAGTAATGTCTCTGCTTTTTAATATGCTATCTAGGTTGGTCAAAACTTTTCTTCCAAGCAGCAAGCGTCTTTTAATTTCATGGCTGCAGTCACCATCTGTGGTGATTTCAGAGCCCAAAAAAATAAAGTCTGCCACTGTTTCCACTGTTTCTCCAGCTATTTGCCATGAAGTGATGGGACTGGATGCCATGATCTTTGTTTTCTGAATGTGGAGCCTTAAGTCAACTTCTTCACTCTTCTCTTTCACTTTCATCAAGACGCTCTTTAGTTCTTCACTTTCTGCCATAAGGGTGGTATCATCTGCATATCTGAGGTTATTGATATTTCTCCCGGCAATCTTGATTCCAGCTTGTGCTTCATCCAGCCCAGCGTTTCTCATGATGTACTCTGCATATAAGGTAAATAAGCAGGGTGACAATATACAGCCTTGACGTACTCCTTTTCCTATTTGGAACCAGTCTGTTGTTCCATGTCCAGTTCTAACTGTTGCTTCCTGACCTGCATACAGGTTTCTCAAGAGGCAGGTCAGATGGTCTGGTATTCCCATCTCTTTCAGAATCTTCCAGAGTTTATTGTGAGCCACACAGTCAAAGGCTTTGGCATAGTTAATAAAGCAGAAATAGATGTTTTTCTGGAACTCTCTTGCTTTTTCGATGATCCAACAGATGTTGGCAATTTGATCTCTGGTTCCTCTGTCTTTTCTAAATCCAGCTTGAACATCTGCAAGTTCATGGTTCACGTACTGTTGAAGCCTGGCTTGAAGAATTTTGAGCATTACTTTACTAGACTACAATTGTGCGGTAGTTTGAGCATTCTTTGGCATTGCCTTTCTTAGGGATTGGAATGAAAACTGACCTTTTCCAGTCCTGTGGCCATTGCTGAGTTTTCCAAATTTGCTGGCATACTGACTGCAGCACTTTCACAGCATCATCTTTTAGGATTTTAAATAGCTCAACTGGAATTCCATCACCTCCACTACCTTTGTTCATAGTGATGCTTCCTAAGGCCCACTTGACTTCACATTCCAGGATATCTGGTTCTAGGTGAGTGATCACACCATTGTGATTATCTTGGTCGTGAAGATCTTTTTTGTACAGTTCTTCTGTGTATTCTTGCCACCTCTTCTTAATATCTTCTGCTTCTGTTAGGTCCATACCATTTCTGTCCTTTATTGAGCCCATCTTTGCATGAAATGTTCCCTTGGTATCTCTAATTTTCCTGAAGAGATCTCTAGTCTTTCCCATTCTATTGTTTTCCTCTATTCCTTTGCACTGATCACTGAGGAAGGCTTTCTTTTCTTTCCTTGCTATCCTTTGGAACTCTGCATTCAAATGGGAATATCTTTCCTTTTCTCCTTTGCTTTTTGCTTCTCTTCTTTTCACAGCTATTTGTAAGGCCTCCTCAGACAGCCATTTTGCTTTTTTGCATTTCTTTTTCTTGGGGATAGTATTGATCCCTGTCTCCTGTACAGTGTCATGAACCTCTGTCCATATTTCACCAGGCACTCTGTCTATCAAATCTAGTCCCTTAAATCTATTTCTCACTTTTACTGCATAATCGTTAGGGATTTGATTTAGGTCATACCTGAATGGTCTAGTGGTTTTCCCTACTCTTTAAGTCCGAATTTGGCCTGTCCTAGCCTGTCCCCAGGTAGACAGGCTAGCAAAGGTGGTCTCTCCCTAGCCCCAAGAGTCCTGGCCTCCTGGCACTGCTTTTCTGCCTCTCAGACGATCTCTTTGAAATAGTAAATAGTGAGCCCAAAGTTTGGTTCTAGTCCCAGTCCTGGCACTTTGCTGGGCAATCTTTATAGGTGACTTCCCCTCCCTGAGATCAGTGTTGCCATCTATGAAAGAAGGGCTTTGAAAAAAGGTGAAAGTCACTCAGTCATGTCCAACTCTTTGGGACCCCATGGACTGTAGCCCACCAGGTTCCTCTGTCCATGGAATTTTCCAGGCAAGAATAGTAGAGTGGGTTGCCATTCCCTTCTCCAGGGGATCTTCCTGACCCAGGGATCAAATCTGGGTATCCTGCATTGCAGGCAGTTTCTTTACAGTCTAAGCCACCAGGGAAGCCTGAAAAAAGAGCTTTACTGGATGCTGATGGAACTTCATTAGTATGTTAAGCCTTCATGTACTATATCCTTAAGGTCTAGCCAGTTAGCTGCCATGTAGGTCACATTGAAACGTATAAGATGACTGTGGCAGAAACCACTAGTGTTCCCCTTACATCTAGTTTCCTCCTTTTCTGTAGAATATTAATATTTTGTTAGGCACAGGGCCATTTAGCTAAAGACTACAGATACCAGCCTGCCTTGTAGCAGGGAATGGCCATGTGACCATTTTCTGGCTAATAGGATGTAGGAGGAACTGCTGTATACAACTTCTGGGTCATGCCTTTAAATAGGAGCATGCCCTCTCTCTTCTCCCCCTTCCCACTGCCTAGAACACAGATGTGGTGAGCCATCGAGGACCATGCTGCCAAAGGCAACACCCTGGGGACTGCAGAGCAGCAAGACAGAAGGCCCCTGGGGGGCTGCAGTGTCAGCCCTGGACATACCCGGACTGTCCCATGGGTGAGAATAAGCATCTCTTCTAGCGTCACTGTTATTTCAGGTCTTTCTCACAGCATCCAAAGTGACTAATTTAGGGACCCATCCCTTCCTTCCTCTCCCGCCTTCTCGTCTCCCTCTTCCCACCCCATGAAAATTGCTACTGCTCAGAACAGCAAAAGGAAACCACATCTAAGATAGGTATTTCAAAATGTGAACTGAACACTATCTCATTAGATTCACTTAATGATACCTGGACCCAGCTTAGGAGCTATTTCAAGGGTAGTCATGACTTGTCTTGGGGACTGTATGTATGGGTGGGGTTGAAAGAGCCAAAGATGTACAGAAGGTTTCAACCAATGAGCGAGTGTGTCACACATAGAAGATGGAGAGACCTGGAAATGATGGGGGGCAAGAATTCCAACTGGGCTTGAGCCATGGATGGATCATCCATGAGAAAATGTGTGATAAATTTCTAGATACACAGAACTGGAGCTCAGAGCAGGATGAGGGAGCTACTCTTGGAAGCCAAAGTTGGGATCACTGAGTAGATCATGGAATGAGAAGAGGCCCCCTGAACAAATTCTGAAGAAGTTGCAGAAGTTAAGAACAGAACAGGGAAGCTTTATCTGGCCATTCCTACAACTTCCACCCCCCCACCCCCCCGCCCCAGAGATGGGTACCCACTATCTCCCAAAGAAGTGCACCACCTTTTGGGCAGCTCTTACTGATGTAAAGCTCTACCTTTTATTGAGATAAAATCTGTCAGCCCATATAATTCCTCATTTGACCCCTTGGACCACAGAGAACATGTCCGCCCCCTCCCTTATAACAGCCCTGCAAGTCTTGGATCTTCCTCTCCCTGGTAGAGGTCATATTGGGCAGCCAGCCACTTTTTTCACTAAAATAGCCCAAAATAATAGACTGTCAAATCTGTGACCAATGACCAGAGTCATTTGCTCACATTGCTATGGGTCCATGTCTCTGCCATCCTCTTCTAAAAGATTCCAGGGGAGATTTATAGGATGTTTCATTTATTACTATTATATTTCATCCAGTTAAGCTAAGTCTATCACTCCAAGTGCCATGATCTTTTTTTTTTTTTTAATTATGGCAAAATACACATAACATGAAGTTTACCATTTTGCCTTTTTTTTTTTTTTTTGCCGCACCCCTCAACTCATAGGATTAGTTCCCCGACCAGGGATTGAACCTGGGACCTTAGCAGTGAAAGCACATAGTCCTAACCACTGGACCTACAGAGAATTCCCATTTTAGTAATTTTTAAGTGTATAATTTGGTGGCATTAAGTGCAGACACAGTGTTCTGTAACCGTGCCATGATCTTTTGAATTACTGTTTTGACAGTACCTGGTACATAGGAGTGCTCAATAATTTTTTGGTGGATGAAGAAAAGCACAAATGGGTGTTACCTAAAAAGGTTACCCTCTTCTCCTTACTTTATTTCTTGTGTCATCAAGGTCCTCTGGGAGAGGACAGAATCAGGAGAGCCCTATAGCACTAGGGTCTGTCCCACTATTCAAGGTTCTGGGATCCCAAGTCTTCCTACTTGTGCTGCCACTCAGCCAGCTGCCCATCTATCTCATCCCCAAAGTACCACTGCTTCTGGTGCGGGACCAATCACATGGAGAAAAACCAGAAAAGAAAAAAAAGGTTCAGTTGAAGAAGGTGGACTCTTCCTCAAGTGCTCAACTGATTATTAGTTCCAGGGTTTTGTCAAGATTAAGTCACCAATCTGTTCTTTCTGTAATCTACTTATTCCCCATAAAACTGGTTATTTGCCTATCTTAGGTCTTTGAGCAGTCATTTATCCGTTTATACAACAAACAGATGCAGGTTTATAGCAAGTATTATGGGAATGGGGGGTCAAGCAGTTCATGGAGGAATGGGGAGGCTTAGTCGAGACCTCATAAAGAAGGAAACATTTCAGCTATCTGGAGGAGGGGGCAGCACCAGCAAAGTCATGGAAGAGCAGGCACCCCCTGTGGACTCTGGGAAGATGGGACTCTGAGGAGAGGCTGTCAAGATGAGGCAAGGGAGGTGGCTAGGGGTTGGTTGGTGTTCAGTCACGGACTGCAGCACTCCAGACTTCTCTGCCCTTCACTATGTTCCAGAGCTTGCTCAAATTCATGTCCATTGAATCGATGATGCCATCCAACCATCTCATCCTCTGTTGCCCTCTTCTTCTCCTGCCCTCAATCTTTGAAGGAAGGAAGAGGGGGCAAAAGACCAGTGAGTGGGCTGGGGACCCATTTTGGAAGCTTAAATGATTAAAATCCAACCATCTCATCCTCTGTCATCCCCTTCTCCTCCTGCCCTCAATCTTTCCCAGCATCAGGGTCTTTTCTAACGAGTCAGCTCTTTACATCAGGTGGCCAAAGTACTGGAGCTTCAGCTTTAGCCTCAGTCCTTCCTATGAATATTCAGGACTGATTTTCTTTAGGATTGACTGCTTTTATCTCCTTGCAATCCAAAGGACTCTGAAGAGTCTTCTCCAACACCACAGTTCAAAAGCATCAATTCTTTGGTGCTCAGCCTTCTTTATGGTCTGTTAGGGGTCCTGGATTGATTCTGTACAGTGGGAAACTGAAATGCTGTGACCCACACCTTCCCCACCTCCATCCAATCCCTGCTGTCTTTCCCAGTTGTCCTGAAATATCCCTGATAGCTTCCCTGAGATCTCATCTCCAGGTTCACTCAGCACCAGGACAGGCAGTCTCAGGAGCCAGAAGACAAACCCATTAAAGCAAATTATCGCCTCCCCTCCTGGCCTGAACTCTGGTTCCTTCCTAACAGCTTCTCTTCCTTTCCCTGATACAGAAGCAAAATAGATGCTGGGCAGACCTTCTCTGCCTTCACTAGACATTTTGCTCCACATCCTTTATTCTAGAGTGCCCCTCTCTCATTCTAGGCTGGATCATTGTGATAACAGGGCTCCAATTTCCTGCAGGGAACCCACTCCATATGGTGCTGGTAGGGCTGAGTCCCAGCCTCAGGCCTCAGCTCTGGCTCCTTGGAGAACCCCTGCCCTGCCCCCACTCACTGACAGGCTTGGAAATGAGCCTGTGCGCCCAGCCACACCCAATCAGAGAATTCCCAAGGCTTTGCTGCTGGCACTCTCAGAAAGCACTCTTTCTTGCTGAGGTGGCTAAGGAGGATGTGGTCTGGGGCTGTGGGCAATGAATCTATCAGCTAGCAACAATCTAAAGAATTGATCCAAACAAATACACAGAGGCAGAGGTGAACACAGGAGGAATACAGAGCCCTGACCACAACATTTAAGTCCCTATGCCTGAAGCAAGCTGCACACCTACACTGCCCAGATATATGAGTAATCTTTTTTTTCCCCTTAAGCCAGTTTGAGCTAGGTTTCTATTATCTGTAACTGAAGGAGTCCTTGACTATACATTTGTTTGTGTATTTAGTTATTTGCTGAACTATTCATGGAGTGCCTGTAGGTAGGCAGTGCGGGCAGAGAGAGGACTAAGTTATGTCTGTCTCAAACAGCCTGAGTTCCAATAGGGAAATGCATAGAAATCACTAAAGTTCAGTACACGGTACTGTTTTAAGATACAGTGAGGACCAGCTGGTGGTACCTTAGAGACATGATAACGCGCTAAAGTGAATCCTGAACACTGACCTGAAGCTCCCCAGGTGGTCAGGGCCAGACAGGAGGTCATGTTTGGATTTTGTTTGTAGGTGATGAGAAAGGGTTTTGAGTAGAGAAGTAACATTGTTGCCATAGGTGGGCCAAACTTTGATTAACTGATCCATATGTAATGGTAAACTTGCTGAGGATGTTTGAATTTTAAAGGATGACATTTTAAAAGGGCAATGGTTTACTCAAAATAAGAGCTAATGGTGGAATTTCGGGCATCAGAGAGTTTTTTTTTTAGATTGTGTCCTCCTGGAGATGCTCAAAATATCCTGCTCCACCTGTGTGTGTGGACCTACTGCTGGTTCTGGATGTAGAATTGAGTCAGGCAGGGGTCAGCAAATTTCTTCTGTGATGGTCCAGATAGTGAACATTTTAGGCTTTGCAGGCCTTCCCATATCTGTCACAATGGCTCAGCTCTGCCTTTACCACAGGAAAGCAGCCAGGGACAGTGTATAAATGAATGAGCTGAGCTGTATTCCAATAGAACTTTATTTATGGACACTGGGAATTGAATTGAGTATAATTTTCAGGAATCACGTGATTTTTTTGGCCAACCATTCTTAGTTTCTAGATGATACAAAAACAAGCAGCAGAAGACTTGGCCCAGGGGCTGGTCAGTATAGACTGGTTTACAGAAACACTAACTCCATTCTCAAACACGGCAGCAGCAAAAATGGAAAACAATTGGGAACGGGTACATTAATTATGGCGCATCTATATAATGGAATAGCATACAGCCTTTCAAAAGAACCTGTACTAACATGGAAATAAGTCCATGTGGGTCACTGAATAAAGTATATTATATATTGGGAGTTATGTGACCTAATTTCTGTATTAATGCATGGTCCCATGGTCCCAGATCTAGTCACCTATCTCTCTCTCCATCTCCTATATTTCAGTGCAGGCCCTTCCTTCTCTGGCACTGAACCCCCAGGGGCTTGCTCCTAGACCTCTCCTTAATTCTTTCTACTATTTTTTTTTTCCTAGATGATTTCATCCACTCCCATGGCTTTAAATATCATTTATATGCTGACAACTCCCAAATTTACCTCTCCAAGTCCACACCTCTTATCTGAGCTCCAAAATTAAGCCCAACTCTCTCCTAAACATCTCTGTTCCAATGACTCACAGGCACCTCTCTCTTAACATGTCCCTCTTCAATCTTTTGATTCCTGCCCCAAACCTGTTCCTCCCCAGCCCTTCCCACTTCGTAAAGGCATCATCCTCCACCGCCTCTGATCAAGTCAGAACCCTTATTTCTCTTACCCTTACAGTTTATCACCAAGAACAGCCATCCCAAACACCCAAATATATCTCAGGGATCTGCAGACTACAGCCTCAGCCCCAAATTCAGCTCACCACCAGCTTTTGTTCAGTTCACCAGTTAAGACAGGGTTTACCTTTTTACATGGTTAGAAAATTAAAAGAAGAATTCTTCATAACACATGAAAATCATATGAAATTCAAATTTCAATGTCTGTAAATCAAGTTTCATCAGCACACAGCCACCCTCCATTCATTTACACGTTATCTCTGACTGCTTTTCCATCACAGCGGTAGAACTGAGTTGTTGTAATAATCACAAAGCCTAAACAATTTACTTTCTGATCCTTTAGAGAAAAAGCTTGTCAACCCAATGTATCTATCAATACAATCAATCTCTCTATTCCCCTCTACCTTGGCTTCTCTCTCTGGTCTGCCAAGCTGCCATCATCTCTTGCCTGCATGGCTACAAAATGTACCTCTCCACTTTCTCTCTTGGCCCCCAACCCAGCTCTATACTCTCATCTAGACTTCTGCACAGCAACCAGAAAAACAGCTATAAAAACAAAAGGGCACCACATCATCACTTTCAATATCTAATTAGCCTACAGGGCCTTGCCTGGTTCAGCCCTGCCCATCTCCCCATTCATCCCTCATCAGAGCTCTTACAAGACCCTGTTCCCTTCCTCACAGGGTCTCTGCAAGCACAGTTCCTTCTTCCTGGATGACATCCTGAGGTTCACCTTGGCAGAAAAGCTGGGTTGGGGGTCTGCCACTCTATCGATGTCCCTGCTATGCATTGCTGTTTACCATGTGTCACACTGAGACCTCCCTGAGCTGGAACCATGTCTGCTTTATTTGTTAGATCCTTTATACTATTGGATCCTTAATTCTAGCTAAGGTTTGGCACATAATGAGTGTTCAAAGCACTGCTCAATGAATGAATGAATGCCTGTGTGTTTAGATAGAGAGAGAGAGATGGATGGATGAATGTTTGTATAGAAAAAGGGTCTGGAAGCATGATAGTGAACCCAACCATGGAGCATGGGG